AGGGACGGGGAAAGGCGCCAACTATAAGGGGGCTTGGAAAACCCTAGAACGAGGAATACGACCATTTCCAAAAGCTGTACAAATCAAGGGGATTTTAAGAATTGGGGGTTCACGATATTAGCTTTCAGGGCAATCAGTCACCACAAATGCCCTTCAGCTCTCATATTGGACGGATTTTGTTGCATGACGTGAGAACCTGCAAAGTTTGTTTGGGTTTAACAGCGTTTGGGCACAAAATACTGTCCAAAGAAAGCGATGAGGATTAGCAGTGACTACGCCGTTTTAGAGTGCGCTATGGGAACGATGAAGTAAAATTGGACTTTTGGGTGGATATGACCTGTTTCGCGCTTCGCCCGGCCCGATGCAGATAAAAAGTATATTTGTCCAGTAGGCCTTCACATATACACCTGGGTTTTCCCAAAGTGGTCTTAAGTCCAAACTGAAGTGTTTTGTTTTCGACTGCCGCGATATAAAGATGTACAAAGTTGACGAGTCATCGCGTGACTTTCCTTATCAAATGATGCGATTTCAAGTGTTGACAATTTTAATTCTTAGCTCAGCATCCATTTAGTGCAAATCGGTTACCCATTGCGCCTTCAGTCAATATGTACGTGTGGGGGCCTACCTAGCTGATTGGTACAATACAACCTGCAATACGCCAATTGTATATTTATTTCTATCTAACTCGTGATATTTGAATAGTAGGCCTACATCCTAAAACTGGCACTGATGTCTAGAGTAATTCCTTTTTTCAATTGTTTCTGTAATTGTCTGTAATTGTTTTGACAGGGCACTACTATCAGCTGTACGATGCTCTACCCTCACTGCCATTCCCGCTTCTTTTACTACGTGTATATCGAGTTTCTGTTCAAAGTCAAGTACAAAACTTGGACTCAGTTTAGTTGTTAAGTTTAGTTGTAACCTCGCCCTCCCCCCCCCCAAAAAGTTGAGGGCCTTTCATTACTCCCAAATTTGCACTACGCCAACCTCCTAGCGCCGTAGCAAGCGGTCTCACCGGGGGGGGGGGGGGGGGGGGGGCTGGACGTAGCATCCGTGCAGAATGGAAGAAAAGGAGTTTCAGCGGTCACCCTGACTCCGTTTATTCAAAAAGGTGTTGTGGCGGGGAGGGGGGGGGAGGTCTGGACACCATTTTTCTATGGGCACGCCCTCCAAAGCAAACACTCTCGTGCAATAGTTGGCACTCTTCGGGCGGTACAATTAAAGTCGTTCGCGCGACATAATATATAGGGTCACTCGTGGAAAAAAAAGGCTGCAAGTGAAATATAGGACTAGCGAATTTCCCGGGGGCGCCTGGTGGGGGATGAAAAATTTGTTGAGGGGGTGGGGGCGTGCGCCCTCCATGTCGCCCCGTGCCTTGGCTACGCCCCTGGTCTGCCGTGATATGCAAAGATCTACAAAGTTGACGAGTCAGTGGGTGACTTTCCTTATCAAATGACGCGATTTCAAGTGTTTACAAGTGTTATTCTTAGCTCAGCATCCATTCAATGCAAATTAATTACCCTTTGAGCCTTTAGTCAACACGTACGTACGCAGGCCAATATAGCTTGGTATAATACGGCATACAATACAGCATTGGTAGAATGAATTAGCTACTTAGTGATATTTTAACAGCGGCATTATGAGAAACGTTAACCTAATGCAATTCCCCTTTTTTAAAAAAAATCTGGAATATTATTACTTGGAATTAGAACACCTTGAGATTGGCGCTCATTTCTGGACCACTGAGGCATCCATATCCAACACTTCACTATGTAGAAATATTTGTAATTACAGTGAATCTCAGAGACAGATACAAATTATCTGTACCGCAATTTAGCGCCCTCTATTGCCACGGATTTATTGTAATTTTGTCACAGCCAAATTTCGTATCAACACTTGCGCAAACTGTACTGGTTAAAGTATACCTGTATACATAAACGTTTTTTAAAAATGGTATAGCGCCACCAAACGGCGAGTTCTGGACCTTTTTGTCCCGTGTTATGCTTTGGATTGTTTACTAACCCTATTTTCAAACAACTAGTTGAAAGGAAACCAACCTAATGTCTTACCATTCCTGATAAAAGACGGGAAAAAACTGCTTGTTTATATCGAACACTACGGAGTACGGATACGTTTTTTGTGTCTTTCTCAGTGTATGTGTACGATATACACAGTTGTGTGTCTCGGGAACAGCGGTGACCAATCACCGTCAATGCAAAAAATAAAGTGGTTTCTTCAACGTCCGCAAAAGGCGAACACTTTACGAATGACATCAAAACTAGCATCCAAACAGCTCGAATTTATGGGGTTGCAAAACTCGCACGCATAATACAGGACTAACACAAAAACGCCCAGTTTTGAAAGGATATTGTGTGGATGTTTATATCCTACTTAAATGTTATTTCCGATTCACATCATCTCGTTCAAAGCGCGTTTTGTAGCTCAATTGGGCTGTTCCAGGACCTAGTGTCCCTTTAAGTGCAGACACGACAAGCAAAATAAAGATTTTTCTTACAAACATTTTCTCGAATAACACTCCGCCTGTGCAGTTTTTCCGCCCCTGCAAAGTTCCACCTAACCTATTATCGTTGAAACTTCTAAATATTAAATAGGCCCATTTTGTTTTGATGGACAGCTGTAAATTTAAGTAATATTTTGGTTTCAGTGGCTTGTTTTGTCCAGGAACGGAACATACAAATACTCTAGAAGCTTACCTGGCTTGACCGCACACCACATCACAGGGAGCGGCACACGGACGTCAGGAAGCCAGACTGCACCGTTGTGCTACTCACGGCCCGTGGTACAACTGGCCCCATGATGCGCGTTGACCCTATCTCTGTGGAACGGACTTCATGATTTCACTAAAAGACGGTCGCAAAATCTGCTTGAGTGAATCAGCACAATGGTTGCCAAATACTGTTGGAAGAGAAGTTAGTCCATTTTTTCCAAGTTGCAACGACCGCGCAAAACACTTCCTCGTGCGTACGACACACGACTTGAAAAGATGTCGGTAATACCCACAATGCTTTGGGAAGTCTGCGTTGACACGGGAGGGCGCCCTTAGATAATGACAGCAGGCAGTGACTGAGATTCAGGTCAGGTTTTGTGCACAAATAATTGAACATTAATAAATTATTAATGTTAATATTGTAACAAAACCAACTCTGGGATCCGCCACTTAAGTGAAATCGACACAAAAATAATGTTGGAAAGAATAAAGAAATTTCAATTTTCACTAGTCACTTTCTTGTGGCCTTTAATTAAAAATACTGAAATTGTTACTATTTTATATTTGCAACAAATTTGGCTTTACGGATTAAATGGAAACAAACTAAATAACAGACAATAACAGGAGTCCAGGAGAAAAATAAGACTGTTTCGGTAGTAAAGTTTAAATTTTGGGCGAACAGCCCAACCACGATCATTAAAATGTGTTGCAGTTTCATTTTAAACTTGCAGTTGAGAGATTTACTTCCTGTGCTTACTGGCCCATCTAATATAGGTTTTCCCGGACAATTTCGGAAAATGTGTACACGACTTTGTAAAAGAAGCATTCGTTTTCGTGCGAAATAAAATGAACGTTCCGAATCTCTGTTTCTAACACTTGCGCACACTGTACTGGTTAAGTATAGGCCTACCTGTATACATAAATGTTTTTTTTAATGGTATAGCGCCATCAAACGGCGAGTTCTGGACCTTTTTGTCCCGTGTTATGCTTTGGATTGTTTACTTACCCTATTTAAAACAACTAGTTGAAAGGAAACCAACCTAATGTCTTACCATTCCCGAGAAAAGACGGGGAAAAAACGCTTGTTTACATCGGACACTACGGAGTACGGATACGTTTTTCGTGTCTTTCTCAGTGTATGTGTACGATATACACAGTTGTGTGTCTCGGGAACAGCGGTGACCAATCACCGTCAATGCAAAAAATAAAGTGGTCTCTTCAACGTCCGCAAAAGGCGAACACTTTACGAATGACATCAAAACTAGCACCCAAACAGCTCAAATTTATGGGATCGCAAACCTCGCACGCATAATACAGGACTAACACAAAAACGCCCAGTTTTGAAAGGATAGTTGTGTGGATGTTTATATCCTACTTAAATGTTATTTCCGATTCACATCATCTCGTTCAAAGCGCGTTTTGTAGCTCAATTGGGCTGTTCCAGGACCTAGTGTCCCTTTAAGTGCAGACACGACAAGCAAAATAAAGATTTTTCTTACAAACATTTTCTCGAATAACACTCCGCCTGTGCAGTTTTTCCGCCCCTGCAAAGTTTCACCTAACCTATTATCGTTGAAACTTCTAAATATTAAATAGGCCCATTTTGTTTTGATGGACAGCTGTAAATTTAAGTAATATTTTGGTTTCAGTGGATTGTTTTGTCCAAGAACAGAACATACAAATACTCTAGAGGCTTACCTGGGGCTTGACTGCACACCACATCACAGGGAGCCGCACACGGACGTCAGGAAACCAGACTGCACCGTTGCGCTAATCGCGGCCCGTGGTACAACTGGCCCCATGGGCGTTGTCCCCATCTCTGTGGAACGGACTTAATGATTTCACTAAAAGACGGTCGCAAATTCTGCTTGAGTGAATCTGCACAATGGTTGCCAAATACTGTTTGAAGAGAAATGGTACAGACATTGTCTGTTTTTGTTGTGCCCCTTAAAATTCTCTGCTAGCCCATTTTTTTTTCAAGCCACGACCGCGCAAAACACTTCCTCGTGCGTACGACACACGACTTGAAAAGATGGCGGTAATACCCACAATGCCTTGGCAAGTCTGCGTTGACACGGGAGGGCGCCCTTAGATAATGACAGTAGGCAGTGACGTGATTGAGATCCAGGTCAGGTTTTGTGTACAAATAATTGAACATTAATAAATTAGTAATGTTACTTTTGTAACAAAACCAACTCTGGGATCCGCCACTTAAGTGAAATCAACACAAAAGTAATGTTGGAAAGAATAAAGAAATTTCAAATTTCACTAGTCACTTTCTTGTGGCCTTTAATTAAAAATACTGAAATTATTATTATTTTATATTTGCAACAAATTTGGCTTTACGGATTAAATGGAAACAAACTAAATAACAGACAATAACAGGAGTCCAGGAGAAAAATAAGATTGTTTCGGTAATAAAGTTTAAATTTTGGGCGAACAGCCCAACCACGATCATTAAAATGTGTTGCAGTTTCATTTTAAACTTGCAGTTGAGAGATTTACTTCCTGTGCTTACTGGCCCATCAAGTAGCAAATCACTCTTTTCCTAAAACTTTTCCTGGAAGGGGACAAAACAACCCCTCGCCGATTAGCAATCGAACTCTCCCAAAAAGCACTCATTAAAACAAAAAAGCCACATGCACAGAAAGCAAACCATGCAAACTATTACATTATCACAGTTTAACTACCAAAATACAATCATAATTACAATCGTTAATCATTAAACAAAATCATAATGTACAGTAAAACGAACAAGCACGGCTGAAATAGGGCAAAGGGCACATAACTGCACGTAAAAGAAAATGTACGACACCAATAGGTTAACGACGGACCTTGAGTCACAAGTTCAAGCCGTGTTGGCAGATCAAAAACTGAAAGAAACACATCTCAGAGAGATATGTCTCTCCTATCAGTTACCAGCTGTAGGTTCTCAATGTGCAAATGTGTGCTCAGGTTTTTATACCTATACTACTGGCACTTGAAATGCAAGGTAAGTAATTTATGCAAATAATTTACGGCAAGTCCTTTTTAATCCAGTGACGTGCTTTTGGAGAGCCCAAGTTAAATACATGAATTGTACTCAATGTGTCACGGTGCTCAATTGAATAAAAGGGTTAGGCTAGTATAAAAAGAAACAATTGGCTTGGCCAGCTAGTGACAATTCTTGTTTACATGCGCACTCTGGTAAGTCTAGTGAATGACTTATCAGCTAGCAAGAGTGTCAAAAGGACTACAAATTATTCCATTCTTATCCGACAACAAATTAAAGTGGTTTTCGATACAATATCGATTTTATGTCTTTCCTCGTGAGAAATTCTCAGATCTCTGGATCAGGAAATGAAAATTAAATTAAGGAATAAAAAAGCTGCGACCTTTTCCGTTTGCACTTTGAAGTGTACTTAGAAATAGGCCAAGTATACATGTGATATAAACTATACTAAGTCAATACTCCCTATGTTTAAATACAATTCAATCGGATAATTATGAAATAAAGGTGAAGCCTTGTTTGTTGATGAGACATTGTAACTTTAATGACATAAAGTAAAAATTCAACGCAGATCAATATTTCCTTCGTGTCATTGAGATTTAGATTGTATTTTCTTTGTTTTCATGGTTCGGGATCGCTTAATATGCGTTGTAAATAATGGTTTCATATTCCAGTTGCTTTCTAAAAGAAATTATTAAAGTACAATGCAATACAACGGAATACGATTGACACAAAGTGTTGGCACTGTGGAAACAACTGTAGTTAAAAACATGGAACTAGAATGCAGTCCATAAGTCCACTACGTTAGTTATTTACTTGCAACAACAACAAAAAAAGAGAATTATTCTGCTACTTGAAAGAGTACGTACGTGTGATAACAGATATTAAGGAAAAACAGGTGAATATAACATAATCTGTTCTTGAACAATTTATTCTCTTTTGTTAATTTTTTTTCAAACACTTTTGGAAATAATAGTAAAATTTTCAACAGTTTGTGCACCTGCATTTGAAATCACACCTGATTTGCATCGAAATATGTCAGCAGATTCTTTTTCCACATGTGGTACCATTTTCTAAGGATTGTATATCCTAAAAACAGTGCTTAACTTATTGTTTCGCTTGCAGTTTTTAAAAGTTGTCTTAACACCAAACTCTGCACGAGCGTCAGTGTTTGACGGCCTCAGTGTTTGATAAGAAATCAACGAGTGCCATACATCCACTATAGGTTTTCAAATCAGTGATGTTCTCATACATACGCGCACAATTTGAAGTTGTCAATACTTTGTCAATTTAAAATGTTTCCAGATTCACATTTGGCAAATCACATACACTCTTTTAAGTCCTGGGTCAATTTTGGCCTGACATTTTTTCGAATAAAAAAATACACTTAATTGTTGCCTTCCCGGTCATTTGACCCCAGGCAATTGTTGTTTGACCGACAAAAGTATCATTTTGACCCCAAAGAGAGTCTGGTCAAATCTTGCCGGATTTCTGAGCGTTTAATACATGCATGTATGTCTTTGGTCATTGCATGGGTAATGCGAAGAGGAATTAAAGACAGTTTACTTGCATAAATTGCAAAAACAGGTCTCTGCGCATTGTATGCGTTATGAAAATTTGTGAGAATAGTCTATGTCAACACGAAAATAATGTCAGGTCAAATCTGTTCACCTGGTACATAATGTATTGTGGTTTGTCATCCCATTACACTCTTATAAGTCCTGGGTCAGATCCGACCCAGAATCTTGGTGACATCTGCTCGTCCGATGTTCGTCAATGCTGTGCACAACGTGGTAATTTGTTGTGCAACACCGGTGGACTGGGCCTGTTTCCATGTTACAAGCATTTCAAGACCTTGCCTTATGATTTCGTTTGGGTATTTTTTCTCGATATTCCGAACCTCTATCGTCGTGAAGCCCAGCTCAATTGCCAGTGTTACCCAATCAGAACCAAGTTTCTTCGCGACCTCATTCAGAGTTCTGTCATCTAAACGTGGTTCTAAAAAAAAATTAAGATAACAATAAGTATACTAAGTAATACTATTGATAATCCACGCCCAATACACCAACAAATGATAAGTTAAACCAGAACTACCGGCATTTTTTTGTAGCAAAAAGAAGTAAAACTTGGCAGATTTTGAGTTACCCCCAAAAATCATGAAACCGGATAATTAATCCTGACTAATAGCCATTAGCTGCCGTCAGGTCGACTTTGCAACGACGTAGAACAGTCGCCGACTGACTTTTCAATATCAAGCTGCGCCTGAGCTTTACAACTATTGGAAATGATACGGATTATTCATCAAGTATTTATTAACATCCTCCTCGATACCCCAGAACCTCTACGTACGTGTGAGCGAGGATTTTTTTTACAAGTGATTCTGACATCAGTGTCTCCAGATGAGAGGGGCGGGTTTAGACACGGATGAAACATTCCCAGTTTATTTTTCTATTCAGTGCCTAATATGATAGAAAAAAAATGAGGCTGTGGTGAGTGTTTTAGTCCTGAATGCTTCAAAACCTTCCAAGAAACTTAAGATCTCATTTGGGTTGGCAAAGATGGTGAGTGCATGGATCAAGTTCATCTTCTACTATTCCTTAATCTTCGCCTATAGATCTTGATCGAAAGTAGAAAAAACAAAATGTGATTCTTGTTAGGGGACACATCTTTAAAAGAAGACAAGCTTGATTTTTTTTAAGGATTTCACTTGTCTCATCGGCCCAGTCGTATGCAATCTTATCGAAAATGGTTGACTTCCCGAGAATTCCCATGCTTGCAAAACTGTGACTTCTGATAAAGATATAAGTATATAAATTATGACCACAAATAGTTGCAACCAGGCCATGACTGATAGAAAAAGGTGAGAGTGGGGAGGGGGAGGGTTTAATCCCCCTTAAACTGACTCCAGAAACAACTGGTCTAGCTACATGTACTACTCACCTGCTGCAGCCATGGTACTTTGGATCACCCGGCCGGCCACAAGTGGAAGTCCTGTATGTCAATGAATAATGAAAAGCCGTGTCACATTGTTCTTTGGAACGATATCTTTTAACAATTAAAAAAGAAAAAACACTAAAGGACCATCTGGAAAAACAAAACATGGCAAGACAATCCTTGTAAGCTTGGTCACAGAGTCACTTTGCCGTTCGCATGGAGACCTGACTTATGTATCATGAAAGTACATGAAAGGAGTGGCGCCAGACTAATGCACCTGTTGCATAGATGCTACGTGGCACGAAAAGCAAGCCTCGTAGATCTGACCCAAGACCAGAGTAAATAACAGCTCACTAATGACAGTTACGAGTGAGAATGGTAAAATATGCAACGGCAAAAGTACTTACTATGTAACCTAATGTTAAGTACAATCCTAGAAACTGAACACAAGAGAAGAAATAAGCCACGGCTGTAACCAAACTTAATGTTAAATTCGCATCAGATTGATTCACAGACATACAAGATGGCACTAAAGCGCTGCAGCTACGTATATATACAACCACCAATGTCATGACCACTTGACGGAACTACATTATGCAAATTAATATCTCGATCAATATCCTTATATGGCGATGACTCAACTTTGAGTTAATGATTGACAAGCGACCTCAATATTCTGTCGCATACAAGCAAATTGCACAAATTAAACAAAACATGCGCTATTGCACTTTCAATATTTTTCAACTAGTCCTAATAAATTTTGTGGACATAACATTCAAGGTATATCTTAAACAAAAATAAAAAGCTGTTTGTTTTCAATCCTGGCAAACCGCGCATCGATATATATAATTATTTTAAAGAATACATTTGTCCCAGTAGTCCTACACGTTATGGGTTTTCCCAAAACGTTCTGAAGTCCACACTGAAGTTGGTTTTTCGCAATCAAATGCGCGATTTCAAGTGTTTACAAATGTAATTCTTGTCTAAGCATTCAATGAATGCAAATCAATTCACCTTTGAGCCTGAAGTCAACTAGACTTGATGACATGTCGTTAGATAGTCGTATTTTGTCCGTGAACATCAGTCGAACTCCATCGGCGCGGCTGGTATAATACTAGTACGTATATCGGCCGGGTTGCGACAAATCCAACGACTTGGCGAGTATGTTCTTGCACCGTTATTTATATATGCAAGCAGTGCAATACATATACAGTGCATTTTTGCGGTGAGATCCAATCGCGCACCGCTATGCAAATGAGGACTCATTCACTCCGTTACATGGGGAGTTTTCTCAATACGTCAGGGACGTGTTTGCAGATCAGGCGACGTTTTAACGAACAAATACACTCAGCTTGGTCAGTTGCGTATAGAAATAAATGTATCATAATACTTGATTTATTTGAGTCGTGTATGCCCTATAATAAATTGTGTAATGTTACACAGCACAAAGTACAAACCCTCGAAGTAATGAGAATGTCCTTCCGTAGTGGCCTAGAATGCACGCTGGAATCTGAACCAATCAGAATGCTCACATAGAATTCGATAGCGATTCAAATCATCATATGTCATCATCGTTTGGTCTGGGAACCAGAGTACACGCATTGCAGCGATAGTTTGCGTGTGTTGCCTGGAGCCAACAACCAGTACCGTACGCAAAGCAATTACCGACTTAATACCAAGTCTAGAAGTCAACAGGTACCGTGTAAAGGCCAACCTCGTCCCCAGTGCTTACTTTATTTCCAACCTCGTTTAGAATAGTAAGCCCTGGAAAGGAAACTTTCTTCCTGTATCCTGATTCGATACCGCAATTGGCTAGTAATGGATTTTTATCGTGTACTTGGTGTTATTATTCACAACGTGCAGTACCTGTTTTCGCGATCATCGGTCCACGCCTTCTTAAAAATACTAATTTCCTTTCCCAATTTATTCACATTAATGTGAAATATGATACTGCATGTTGTCTCGATAAGATCGTAACAGTTTATTATTTTTTAAACCGTGTTTTAGTAACTCACGCTGTGCTCGCGCTGCGACGAATTGACTCTGTTTTTACCCCAGTTACCGCATACAAAAACAAACGCTATTGTAACGCACATCCAGGCACCAGACTGTTCCCCATTTGCATACGTGTTCAAAAATCTTGCACATATGCAAATGATCCAATACCAGGGTGAGAGATCGGGTAGTGACGGGCACGTAGTGCTCTACACCCTGGGGACGAGGTTGGTGTATAGGCCTCCATATCTTGGTATAATCATGGCAACATGTACTTATGGTAATCTAATGGTGTTTTAACATAGGTTTTCCCGGACAATTGTTGAAAATGTGCATTTGAATTTGTAAAACATAACTTCAATTAGGCACTGATTTTGAGAATGACGTATATCCTTGTTTTATTTTCGCAATAACTATAGCTTCGATTTAAGTTTGCATCATTCAAATCAATGAATGTGTAAACGTTTTATTGAAAGGATCAAATACCGAAGCAGGGCTCGTCCTTAACTTTTTTTTCACTAGCCAGCCGGGCTACTAAAACAGACTCTTCACTAGCCTGCTGACATTTTCACTAGCCCGCATGTTGTTGTTGGTTTATATTTAGCTCCGATACAAAATAGGGTACTTTCAGGCTCAATTGTGAGGCAACTTCATCAGTGTTTTTAATAAACAGATCTAATAATTTAACCCTTTAAAACAGTTGATCAAATTAGACACAAATTGATACAGGTTTGCTTTCTGAATTTAGTGATTTATTTCTTCCTGCTCTTTCATCTTTGCCGTAGCCTGACTTGTCGCTCAAGCGACAGCGCAGTTTATGAATAATGATTAACAACACACATTCAAGTAACGTACTGTACGTCGCGAGCGAGCTGTGTGCGGACTATAGGCTAATGCATCAATGTACAAGACTAGTCGGCGTGCGCTTATATTGCTATGCCTACCAGTGGCGGCGCGGGGGGCATGGGGATATTTGCCCCCCCCCCCCAGTTTCCCCACCCCCCAAATTTTGCCCCCCCCCCCAGTTTTCTCCCAAACATTGGTACTTTGGTAGACAAAACACGCCACACATGCATTTATACAGCTGTAGGTATATTGTGCATGCAGCCAACGTCTTTGTACATTTGTTATACATTTGTTAAACATTATACACCATTCTGGGGGTTTGATACATTTCTCATTCATAAAACGATTACACGCGTGCGCGTACACAGGCTACAGATTTCATTTTGAATGCCCTCCCCCCCAAAAAATATCTTATCCCCCAGTGGGCTCCGTGCGCAAACAAAAGAGGGCGCGTTTTTCCCTCTTTTGAGAGCTCCGTGGACGGGGCTCACAGCGTGTGCGTACTGCACTGTACTGGTTCGAGCGCGAAGTATGTACAACTTCATGAATGTACATAAGTTATAGCCACCGCGTCTTCGCGTGAGCGTCAGGCGTCATCGACACGCGAATATGTTTGAATTCAACTTGCGATGGTATCCGAGACTAATCCCCACCTCCAATCACTTAGGATATTCGAAATACGCAGTGGGTGGATCGGGAACCAGTCTAGGTCCACCCCGACTCTCCTTTTCTGGCCGTTGATGGGGTACTTGTGCACGGATCCCATAGCCCCTCCCCCAGTCTATGTGATAGACCGCGGCGGAGATAGGGCTCCGTGGAGAACGGCTGATACTCAGACTAAGCCCCCTCCCCCCCCCCCCCCCCCTCTTCACAAAAGAAAATAGAGTCTGGCGCCACCACTCATGCCCATTAATGCGACCGCGTAAAACTACACTTGAAAAACTGCGGGTTTTGCAACCCTTTGAGAGGAAAACACGCAAAGGTTGCAGAGCATGTCTCAGAACGGCCACGATAATCGCATAGCTAGAATCGGTCCATGGTGCCAGGCTAATGCAAAACGCGTAATTCCAAAATTAACATACATGAATATATGGCTACGTCAGTAGATATGAATATTGATAGCGTTTCGCTCAATACTTTCTAATCTGGAAGGCGCTTTGTAAAGCTACTTTTTAAAACTGTATAAAGGCCTGCAAATGCAGACAAGCAAATTCATTTGTTACGGGGCATTATATAAATTAGGGGGGGGGAAGGAAATTTTGCAAAAGCACGTATTTACCAACTTTAAGATCAAATTGTTACACATAATGATGGCAAAACAACAGTACTTACGTAAATTTACACCTTGTAACAGTTACTACCTGCACAGAGGCCTCAGGCTGATGCCTTTACCTAGAAATCGAGCCACGAAAAGCTTGTAAAGTTTTCATGGGAATTTCATGCCACTTGGGCAATTTCAGAGTATAGGAACAAAATCGTCAACCCTAGATTACCAGTGAGTGCAGAAAGACCAAAATCTTCCCCACCCCTTGATGAGCATTATTAACACAACTGTATCCCCAACATGAGGGATTATTTTCCTTGTGCAGTTTCATGCATGTGCATCGCCCACTGCTACATTCACACAAAATAACAAACTTTCAAGACACCGGCGACAACAGATGGCAGGAATGTAAAACATCCACTCAATAAATAAGCACAAAGAAAAAAAAATTCATCATTAGCATATCTAGAAGTTCACCTTGTTGGTGAATATCAAATTATCAATAATAAACTGTTATGACAACAATCAACCTACAATTTCACAAGTGCAGTTTGACTGAGCGCAATCAACTCATTTTGTTAAATGTGTCTGTAATTGCCTGTTACTTTTGACAGGAAACCCTTAATTCAGTTCTACCACGTCCTACTATCTACCATCCACACAAAACACCTGGGTTTTCCCAAGGTGTTCCTAATAAGTTCCCACTGAATTTTTTTTTGTCTGCCGTGATGCGAAGATGTACAAAGTTTACGAGTCTGTGGGGGACTTTCCTTATCAAATGACGCGTTTTCAAGTGTTTACAATTGTTATTCTTAGCTCTATATCCATTCAATGCAACTCAATTCACCTTTGAACCTTTAGTCAACACGTACGTACGCGTATAGGCCCAAATAGCTTGATATAATACAACACGCAATACCATTCGTAGATTGAATTGCATTTTGCAATTTATCTAATGATATTTTAATACTGGTATTATGCGAAACTATAATTTAATGCAGTTCCTGTTGAATAAAAATGCTGAAAGAATTTCCGTGAAGTACACATACATCATGAGAATGGCACTAATATCTGGGCCAATTCTATAAAAGCTTCCAGCATCTCACTTAGTAGGAACTATTTTAACAGCGAATCTGAGAGCCTGATAAAGTTGCAAAAATATGTTGTAAAAGAAAAGTACGTTCATATCTCAACAGTTACATCCTGGACAATGCCCTGATGCTTTCACCAAGAAATCTAGCCGCACTTAAGTCCTCTAATAATGCAGGCCTATAAGACCTCTTTTAGGGGTAATGTTAAGTTGTGCACATGAGTTAATGTTACCATGTAAGACTGAAAATAGATAATTTAAAATTATCCAATCCTGTTGTCCGCAGTCTGCTACACAGAATCTGAGAAAGTCATGTGGCACAAGCTCAGCGTTCGT